CAGCACTCAGGAGGCAGAGGCACTGGTACAGGTAAAAACTGTAAAATCTTTAATGTGAATGCATACTATCACCAAGTCAGGAAGTAGAACAAAGGAAACAATACCAACGGAAACTTCTGGATAGTGAGAAAACCAAAAGAAGATTACAACAGAAAGACAATTTATAACAATGAAGTATCTTAATTTCCTATTATGGTTGATATGGAAGACCTAGTCATTGTAGAATACAGAAATTATGTGCTTGTGGGAAAAGATGCTGGAATTAAAGTTTCCCTTGTAGGACTGTAAATGAAAGTTGGAATCACAAAGACAGAGGGACAAGAAAATTACCAGACAGACAGAACGTTTATCATCAAGCAATCAAAGGCTGCTGAGAATGTGCAGGGCGTGGGAGATGGACCCAACGTTAGTAGGAATATAATTAGAGCAGATACTATGAAATGACCATGGAGGTACCTCAGAGTACCAAAGGTACCGTCAGGCATCGTGAAGGACGTCTGTAACCCTTGAGCACAGCAGGCAGGGCAGGAGGATCAGGAGTTTGAGTTCAGCCATGGCCACATAGCAAGTTCCAGGACAGCTTGGGATCCTCTCTCAAAATCAGTTAGTTAACTAAAATTCTACAGAACTAAGAATATATCCCTATACGATTCAGATCTACCACATCTGGGTACCGAACGTAAAGAGCCACAGATAGTAGAGAGGAAATATACATGCACATTCAAGTTTCCTGAAACACTGTTCACAATAGCCAAGTCACAGAACCAGCCCAAATGCCCAGTGATGGATGAAACAGTAAATGGGAGTGTGGTCTGTAAGCATAATGCAGTTCTATTAAACCATAAATACCAAAAACACGTAATCTGAAGGAAAATGGATGGAACTGGGAATTACCATGTCAAGCAAAGTAAGCAAAACTGAAAAAGATAAAGATCACATGACTTCTTCCACAGGTAGTCTACATGAAAAGTAGAAAGGAGACTGAGGAGAGGAAAGACGCCAAACTGGGGGCCAGGCCAGGCAGGGGAAGGTATTCGCCATGCAAACTTAGCGACCCGAGTTCAAGCCCTGGAACCTATATATAAAGGCGGAAGGAAAGAACCAGTTTCCCTCTGACCTCACACACGTGCCTTTCTTAATAATTAAATAAAATAAATATTAAGATTAAAAACAAAGTCTAGAGAGATGGCTCAGTGGTTAGGAGTACGTCCTACTCTTGCAGACGACCTGGATTCTGTTCCCTTCACCCTAGCAGCTGTTTTAACTCGAGCTCCAAGAGATCTAATACTCTCTTCTGCCTACCTTATACATACATATGCACAGACGTGTAGGCATATACATAAATTACAAAAAATAATTGAAATTAAAGTGGGCAGGTTAAAGAGATGGGTGGCTCAATGGGTAGGAACACTTGTTCTACAAGCATGAGTGCCTGAGTTCAAATGCCCAGAGCATGCATAAAAGACCAAGAATGACTATGTGTCTGTAAATTCAGAGCTGGTGGGAAAGAGACAGGAAGCTTGCTAGGACTTACTATCTCCTAGTCTAGCTCCAGGTTCATTGAGAAGCAGCGACTCAAAGGACTATGATAAAACAGGACATCCAATATTCTCTCACCTCCAGGCATGGGCACGTGTACATACATACACACACGCACATGTGCACGCATGCGCGCGCGCGCACACACACACACACACACACACACACACACACACGTGCTCATGCACACACACACAAAATTCAAAAATAAATTTAATAAAAGGTTCCTAACAGACAGATAGAATAAAATGTACAACTACATTATAATACATCACAGCCAGATGATACATATGACTCTTTAGACTTAAATCAATTCAAGCTAGCCAAGATGTAAAATGCATACATTCCTTCATTAGCTACATTTTTAGAACTCAATAACCATGGGTTGCTAAAATGGGTATTGATTGGAACTGTCTATGTACAGAACATTTCCATCCTGGCAGAACATTCCATTAGACGGCACTCAACTAAAAAAAGGACCCTGACTTATGACGGTGATAATCAGTACATAGCAGTGGGCTAAGTCAGCCTTTACATTAGACTGAGAAAGATCAATACAATGTGCACATAAAAAAGTAAATGAAAAAATAATTGGCCAGGTACTTTGTACCAAGTGAACTGTAAATCTGATATGAAAAGTGAAAGCAGAAATACTCTAGAAGAAACTACTGGCAAAAGCTCGTTCTCCCACGGAATCTGGGATCCCCATCATGTCCTGCCTTGGACAAGGCAGCTCCTAGTTGTTCAGGATTCAGAGGCAGGATTCCCTCCACGAGTTCCCTGGTTCTCGGGTCTTTGGAATCATAGTAAACTGTGTTACCCATTTTTCTGGGTCTCCAGATAACAAGAGAGCAAGTACCATATAGTTTCTGTACAATTTGGGTTCCCTTACATATGCAAAAAAAAAAAAAAAAAAAAAAAAAAAAAAGATGTGTAAAAACTGCAAACCATAAAAATACTACTGGTAAAAACAAAACAAAACTAGTTAAAATGGTACTAGAAATGGAGAATTTGGGGTTCTGGAGAGATTGGCTCAGTCGGTGGGTAAAAGGTGCTTGCCACCAAGCCTGTCACCCTGAGTTTGACCCCTGAGACCTATAAGATAAAAGGAGAGAAACAATTCTAACAAACTGTCTTCTGACCTCCATGCATGACCCATGGCATGTACACACACACACACACACACACACACACACACACACACACACACACACACACAAAGAGAAATAGTAAGTAAAATCTACAAAGTAATACATATGATTTTTAAAATTTAAAAAAGGGGGAGGAAAAGTGAGTAAAAGATAAGCTAAACGAGTGAAAGCAGCTGCTGCCAAGCCTGACCCCTAAGTTTGATGCCCAGGTTCCACATGGTGAAAGGAGAGAAAAAGATTTCCAGAAGGCACCCTGCGACCTCTACATGTGCACCACAGCACACATGTACTCGAAAATAAATAAATGAGATTTTTTTTTTTTTTTTTTTTTTTTTTACAAAAATAAAGGGCTAGAGAGATGGCTCAGTGGTTAAGAGCACTGGCTACTCTTTCAGAGGTCCTGATTTTAATTCCCAGCGCCCACATGGTGGCTCACAACCATCCATAATGAAATCTGATGGCCTCTTCTGACCTGCAGGCAGACATGCAGACAGAACACTCCCATACATTAAAAAAAAAAAAAAAGTGTAAATAAATAAAATGATAAAAAATGAAGAATTTATGCTGATCAGGAAGTAACATTAGGACAGTAGGGTGGGAAGCCACAGCGAACACACCCACACACAATAAATAAGTAAATAAATAAATATAAAGTTTAAAAAAATAGGGAAAAGGGTATGACAAGCCTGAAATAGATCCTTTCTTCACAGCACTCAGAAAACCTGGCCAAAAGGTTCATTTTGGACTACTAACATCTAGAAAGTGAGAATCAGTACATTTTTTAGTGGTGGTACATTTTTTTTTTTTTAATGATAACCCATACAAGCCATACAAGTAGTATTTTGTAAAGCAGAATATATGCACCTCTTATGATCCCAGCATTCAGGAGGCAGAGGCAGGTAGCTCTCTGTGAGTGTGAGGCCAGCCTGGTCTACACAGTGAATTCCAGGACAGGCCCCAAAGCTAAAGAGAAACTGGTTCTGTCTTCAAAGGCCAAAAAAAAAAAAAAAAAAAAAAGGAAGGAAGAAGGAAGGAAGGAGGAAAGAAGAAAGGAAGGAAGAAAAGGAAAAAAGAAAGGAAGGAAGAGAAAACTATTTGGTGGTCTGATCTAACAGAGAAGATTACATAAATTGTTACAATGCAAACATGAAATGTTCCCACAGGCAAGTGTCCCCCAGACACTGGATCCCACTTAGTGGTGCAGCTGTGGAGGGGCGGACCTTGCGGAGGTGGGGCACAGCAGGGAGAAGAGGTTGCTGGGGGTGAGATTAGCTTGTCACTGAGCCACACTTCCCTCTTCGCCACCCTACGAGCTGCCCCTTCATGCTCTACCCCATGAGGGTGGACAGTACCTTCTACACTGCGAACCAAAACAAACTTCTCCCTCCTTTTGCTCTCGTCAGATATCTGTCGCGGCGACAAGTGAAGGGTTAGCCACGACAGGGACATTTGAAAAGAAGCAAAAACAAACAAAAAAAGAAGTGACATGATCACCAAAAGGTTGTTATTTTAAACTGAAAAAAAAAAAAAAAGAATAAAAGGTGATAGAGACGTGTGTGTGCCCGCCCAGACGTGTGTGTGCCCGCCCGTGCGCGTGTGTGAGCGTGTGTAGGTGTAATGAATAGTACATACTCAAGAAAGCTATCGACATAAAATCCTAAGAGTACTTAGTAACTCAAAGATTTAAGATACCTGAAGCTGGGCACAGTGGCCCACGCCTTTAATCTCAGCACTTCGGAGGCAGAGGCAAGTGGATCTCTAAATTCAAGACCAGCCTGGTCTACAAAGTGAGTTCCAGGACAGCAGGGGCTATGTATGGAGACCCTGGGTCAAACAATTATAAAAAGATAGCAGGCTGGGCAGTGGTGGCACATGTCTTTAATCCCAGCATTCTGGAGGCAGTGAGTTCGAGGCCAGTCTGGCCTAGTGAGCAAGTTTCAGGGCAGCCTCCAAAGCTATAGAGAAACCCTGTCTCAGGGGGAAAAAAAAAAAAAAAAAGAAGATACCAGAAGACCCGAGTTTGATCCCCAGAACTCACTTGGTGACTCTGGCAAGCTGACCTCAACAAGTATACTTTGGCACACACGTACAGCAAGCATAAATAAATCAAATGCAGTTAAAACAGCATTTTTTCGGAGTATTTCCACCTCAAGTGCAAGTCAATTACAGCTTATGGATAAAGACTAGTTCATTACAATCACTTTGACTATAGACAAATTTGAGATATTTTAAAAGAGTGGATAAAACAGAGCTTGGCTTTTTAGCAATTTCTTTTGGTAATTTTTAGCGTGCATTCTCAAAGTACTTTACCTGCCATCTCTTCTGAGGGCAAAACTGATGCCATCTTTTTGGAAAGGAAGCAGCTTTTCCCTGAGCTTGTCAGGTAAAAAATCCAGCTGTGTATGTGATTCACTCGTTAAACAAGACATCTGAGGTGCAGGAGCCTTCTTTCTGTTACCAGCTGTAGGCATGGTGAGCCTGAAAACAAGGGACCACAACACACAAAGGGGGCGGGCATTATTAACCACACTGCAGAATCTCATATGCATGAAACTATGTCACTTAAACCTAGCTCTGGGATACTGGCTACACAAAGACTAGTTAAATCATGTTCCCTGAGTACACTGCTAAGAAACCTCGGGGCACTGAGTCCAAAAGTGATAGAATAATTCCCTGTACAAGAAAAGCGTCTCTACTTCGTTTTAGAACTTAATATAACCATACCCATTTCAAGCAAATAAATACAACACTGAAAAAAAAAGCACATACCAACAGGATTGTATTTTTGGTTTTTGTTTTGTTTTTCAAGACACGGTTTCCGTGTGGCTTTGGATCTTCAGATTCGCATAACTAGACATCTCTACCTGGCTAACAGGTGTCTCAAAGATCCCAAAAATAGAATCCTAACTCTCTTCCCTAATCCTTGTTTTACTTACGGCCTTTTTCATTGTATCCGTCCAGGGTACTCACACTCCATTCTGTCTAAAACTGCACACCTATCTACCAGTGACTCCTGTTGACTCTACATTCTAATTATATCCAGAATATCACCACTTCTAATCATTTACAGATCTACCTGCCTGATCTGAGCCACCACTGTCTCTAGTCAGAATTTCTGGGAAATTTTAACTGGTATTGCCTGTGTCCACCTTTGCCTTGATCCTTTTGTCAATACAACAGACAGTGAGGTGCTCCGAGAAAGACCATTTGATCATGCCATTTCTTAGAATACTTCTTGCCTGGACTCAGATCTCAGTCCCACTACCAGCTTTCAGTCTCTTACACCATCTGTCCACCACTGCCATGAGCTCTCCATTGCTTACCTACTTTTATCATGCTAATGTTCTTGTCTGAATATCATTCTACCCCCAGATACCTGCATGGCTGCCTCCCTGGTGTCCTTCACATTTTTCTAAGTGGTCATTTTACCAACAAGTAATTTAGTCACTCTATTTAAATTCTAACTTCCCATAGTTCTTCCCTGCCTCACTTTTTTTTTTCTACTTGACAGCCTCTATCAGCTTCCAAAGTACTATACAATTTACATCTTTTGCCGTTTATTCTCAGCTTCATAAAGGCAGGGGTTTATTGGAGTTTGTGCTTTTCATATAATGAGGATTGAACTGAGGGCCTTCCTTGTGTATGCTAAACAGGCACTCCACCACTGAGCTGTATCTACAGATTTCCTTTTACTTTTTATTTCAAGACAGGGTCTGACTAAGTTGACCTCTATTATTCTTCTCTTTAAAGTTGCAAAGCACAGGTTGGGTGTGGCAGTGCACCCGCCTATAATCCCTGGGGAGGTAGAAGCAGGCAGATCTCTGAGTTCAAAGCCAGACACTACAAAGTGAGTTCCAGGACAGCCAGGACTATATTAGAGGGACCCAGTCTCAAAAACAAAAACAAAACAAACAAAACAACAACAACAAAAAAAAACCCCAACCAATGAATAAAAATAGATAAAGTTTCAAAGGTTAGGAGGACCACGCTGGGTCCAAAGGTAGGACAGGAGCTAAGGATGAGAAGATATAAATTGTGCCTGTAAGCATGCGCATTGCCAGTGCTAGCATGTAAATAGAGTTCTTGGGAGATGCAGCAGGGTGGGAATTAAGAGACACAGTCCTGTGCATGCTTACAGTAGAAAAGTCCCTGTAGTATACAGAAAGTATGTACTAAATTCAAATGATAACAAATACATTAGTGCACTTTGCAGAATAATTAAGATTAGAGCCGGTGCTCTTAATAGCTAAGCTACCCTCCAGATCTGATAGAACTATATTTACAGGTCATCAGTAAACTAAAGGCTAAATTTAATAAATTGGAATGTTTAATTGGCAAAATTTAATATTATAAAACAGTATATCACTTACAATAAACATAGAATTACATAATATTTTCTGACTCACAAAAACAAAACAAAACAAAACAAAACCAAGGACATATTTTCTGACACTTATCACAAGGCTTCCTAAGCTGGCATATCAAATATCAATTACTTTAAAAGCTAAGATACCTTTCATTCCATAGGCAATTTTTTTCAGAAGAATGATAAAATAACTCCCATTTATTGGAAGGCAGCTATGTTCATCAATATACCATCAACACACCAATTTGCTTATTGGATAATCTCTTCATGGAGGAACTATGCTAAAGAATCTTATAAAACCTGTAATTCTCAAAGTATATACTTGGTTTTTTGTTATTTATTTATTTATTTATTTATCCATCCTGTGGTGTGTGTGTCCTTGGTAATACCGCAGCATCTGTATAGAGATCAGAGAAGGTTTGGGGACCAACTGTCTTTCTACCATGTAAATTCTGGGAACTAAACCCAGGTCCTCAGCCTTGGCAGTAACTTCTTTTATCCACTATGCCATCTCACTGGCCTACAAAATATTATCTGCGTATTAAAATTGATTCTGAGCTATTAAAGAATTAACACAAGTCTTAGGACTGACTAGTAATGACACCAAGTTCAGGACTTTGACTGGCTGATGTGAAAGTCTAAACTTTTCCTTTCTACAACATTGCTTCCAGATCACTCATCTGACAATATTGAAGGAGTGCCTATCATGTGCCTGTAATCCCACCACAGGTAGAGGCAGGAGGACCAGGAGTTCAAGGTCAGCCTCTGCTACATAGAGAGTTCAAAACTATCCTGAGCTACTTAAGGATCATCTAAAAACAAAACCAAAACATGACCAAAAGCTAGTTCAGTGATAGAAAGCAGAAGCCCCATGTTAAATCTCAGCACTTTATAAAATAATCCCAGTTTTGTTCTTTATACCAAAGAATAATACAAGTAATTATAAAATATGGAAAAAATAAACGATATATATTTTTGTAAACTGGAGAAAGGAAACTACTTTTGATATCACTGTTAAATTTGAACACTAAAGTAATTTAAACTCATTTTGGAAAAAACAGCATTTAAAAGTTAAAAAGAAAGTCTTCATTCAATGTGAGTAAAGATTTCCCAAATATGTGACAAACTAAAAAAAACAAAAACAAAAACAAAAACAAACAAACAAAAAAAACTAAAGTATTTCTTTAAAATTATGATGCCAGGACAGCAACAGGCTACTTACAAGAAACTAGACATCAACATAGAACATAGTCAGCATCAGAGGGATTCAAATAGATACAAGTTGCATTAATGGATCATCACTTTTACATCAGACTAGACCGAGTAAAGAGACAGGAAATGGGGGCTGAAGCCATGGCTCAGTGGGTAACATGCTGAGTCTGAGGACATGAATTCAGACCTCCAGAACACCTAAAAAAATCAAACTGTAACCCAAGCACTGAGATGGGATAGAGTACGTCAAAGACCACAGTGTCCTGGCAGCTCCCAATCAGCCGGTCTGATTCCAGAAGCTTCAGGTTCAGTGGGAGGCACTGTCTAAAAAGTATGGTGGAGAAGGGTATGGGGAAGACATCGCAGAGTCAAAGTCTAGTCTCCACATGCACCCACAGGAAGGAGTTCAGCTGCATACCGCACATACACAAACACACAAATAAATGGGAAACAGGTTATCTCAAAGAGTAAAGAGAGCTGGGTGTTGGTGGCGCACGCCTTTAGTACCAGCACTCAAGAAGCAGAGGCAGGAGGATCTCTGTGAGTTCGGGGCCAGCCTGGTCTACAGAGCAAGTTCCAGGACAGGCTCCAAAGCCACACAGAAACCCTGTCTCAAGGGGGGAAAAATGGAAATATTTCTTCTGGAGAACAACTAGGAATTACAGAGACTCTACGGTTAAACATATTTTCAAAAAGTTGGGCAGGCGAGATAGATGGCTCAGTAGTTAAAATTCCAAGCCCAATGACCTGAATTTGGTCTCGAGAATTGGCTACCTTAGTTAAGCTCTAATCTCCATACAGAGTCTACAGTTTAGTTTGTGTACACACATATACAAAGACTTGGTACACCCATGTTAGTTGCAACACTGGCCACGAAAGCTAGGAGAGAAAAGCAACTTAAATGTCTGCCAATAAATGAATTTATTTACAAAGTGTGGCATGTACGGACCAGGTATTCAACACTGCAAAGGAAATCCTACCACACCCTATATGAATGAATTCTGGAGACATTAAGTTAAACAGAATAAGGTTCAAATGGCTAATACACTGTAATGTTCACACTTAAGAATACTAAAGATGGTATATTTTGTTATATGCTTTCACTATGGTATATTTGAGCTACACCCTGGAGTACAGGGAGCCATAAAAAGTGACAGTGATATTGTTACAGTAGACCCATTGAGTTTTAAATAAAGCAGTAGCTTTTCATTAAAGCAGGTCTTCCTGCTGAGATGCTGGAGCCATGGGTGAGTGGTTAAGAAAATTTGATGCTCTTGCTGAGGACTCTGGTTCAATTCCCAGCACCTTTATGGTTGCTCACAACCATTTGGAACTTAAGTTTCAGGAGATCCAATGCCTTCTTACAGGCATTTATGTGGTGTATATATATAAATGCACTCATAACACATAGAATAAATAAATCTTAAAAATAATAAAACAAAAATAGTGTTTTTCTGCTGATCATGGTGGCGAATGCCTTTAATCCCAGGGCACTGATGACACAGGAAAGCAGAACTCTGATTCATAAACATTTGAGAAGCAATGGTTTAAGGCTGAAAAAGCAAACAGACCTAGATATGTATCTCAGCCTCAAATTGTCTCGACTAAGGGGTCAGACTTTATAAAGTCTTACTGAATCCCCAATTTCTTTAGTTATTAAACAATACCAAGGCTGAGGATGTAACACTCAGACCTGGGATTTGGTGGTACACGCCTTTAACCCAGCACTTGGGAGGCTGACGAAGGCGGGTCTCTGTGACTTCAAGGCCAGCCTAGTCTACAAAATGAGTTCCAGGATAGCCAAGACTGTTACACAGAAAAAAACCTGTCTCAAAACCAAAAAACAACAACACAAACCACATATGTGGCAAGGAAATATGTAAGCACACTTAATCCATTTTTGCATCAAATAAAATACTCAATAATGACTGTCATTATTCCTACTTATTGACTTGATTTACTCTGGAAGAGTTTATGGGGGGGAACCAATTAAACTTTTAGGGATCCTAAGCTAAACATCACTGGATATTCTAATTCCACGATGGGGATGATACAGCTCAATCGTGCCTTCTGCATACCATGCATGTTGTACAGGAGGTGATGGGTTTATTAGCACACACACATGCAGAAGTATTACATTAGAAAGTAAAGACTTTTTTTCTTAACAAACAGAAAGTAAGACGGTGTTGGCTGTCTGCAAGTTACAGATATATTTCTGCATCTAGGATTTCACTAGTTAGGTGTTTCATCTATGTGGTGTAAAAACACCTATCAGTACTGGATGGAGACTTGACAACACTTCAGTAAAAATAATGGAAATAGACAAAGATGGTTTTTAAATCTAAAAGTAGAAAGCAAAGAGAAAACCAAATCAACACACAAAACATGACTATGAAGAGGATGGATTTAGGGACCAAGTAACATTAATTTTGTTTAATCTTTCGCTTCCTCACTCCTCAAAGTAAACAAACAAAACAACCTATGTGTGCACTATTGAACCCTTTAAATCTGGTATACTCACTACTAGTCTAAGTGTTCAATAAATATTTACAAGGTAAGTTGTAAGACAAAGTCTCCATAAAAATGATGGAAGAGACTTTGGGTGGCATTAGGCTTGAGGTGACCAATCTAGCATGCCTCATTTGATAAGTTTACCAGGTTGTGAATTCTGAAGCCATTTTTGATGATGTCTTTTTGTCATTGAATTATTACAAGTGTCACCTGGTCACCACTTATTATTATGGATGGGCTACTCAGAAAGAATGGCAATAGGACCATTCTATTAGTCTAACAATCCTAAGGTTTCTTCCTTCAAAGGCAACTACTGAAGAGTGTTTGAATAAATAGAAGGAATTAGCTCAAACTGAGGATACAAACCCACGCTGCGTCATGTACAGTGGCTAAAAGCAAATTATTAAAGTGTCCTCTACAATCTCAAAAGAGATGATCTACTAGTGAGCGGATCTGATAAGAGACATTGGGTCTGCAGGAATGAAAATATAGGAAATTACAGTAGGGGTTCGGGAATTACACCCATGACACTTCACATTCCTGGTGTGTGTGTGTGTATGTGTGTGTGTGTATTTTAAACAAGGTCAATTCTGTAGGGGTTCGGGAATTACACCCATGACACTTCACATTCCTGGTGTGTGTGTGTGTGTTTGTGTGTGTATTTTAAACAAGGTCAATTCTGTAGTGTGTGTGTGTGTGTGTGTGTGTGTGTGTGTGTGTATTCTAAACAAGGTCAATTCTGTAGTCCCAGCTATTCTAAAACTCACTCGTACTGCAGGCAGTCAACTCAAGGCGATCTTTCGGCTTCCTGCTGTGAGAGGCAAAAAGGCACCACGCCCGAAACATTCACTTTCCCATCCCTTGCCCGACACAGCACTCCCAGACCCACAAAAACCGCAGCGCTTGCTTCAGAATCTCCAACTCCCGCCAAGCTTTTTGCAAGTGTCCCTAAGCGGAAGTGACATCAGGATGACCTGAAAGTGAGAGTTCAAATACCCGCACACTAAAACCCTGTGGTGTCCTGAGAAAACTCCTCACCCTTTTATATTTTCACTCCTCCTTCAATGAGGCTAGAAGACATGACTAGAACCTTGCGACCTTATTTATAAATCCAAATTATTCAAAACTTTCCCCCTTCCCATCTGGAGAAGAGGGGCACACGGTAACCTTTCAAGAACTACAATTCCCACGACAGGAAGCGAGAGGAGGAAGCTGGTATAGGGGTTGCAAAGCATCTTGGGAGCTGTAGTTCCATAAGCCACAGTGCTTAGTAGTCCTTCCCTCCACCACTGAGACTGGAGAAACCAGGTGTTCCGCTCGCAATCCGTTACCGCTAAGGGGAGGAGCTTCGTCTTTAAAGCCTTCCCACATCTCCCACATGAAGGACACAATTGCCCTTTCATCCTCAGAACCTCTACAAATATTTCCTGAAGAAATACAGTTGTTTTCTATGTCTCCAGTGATTAAAATGTCCAGGAACTCGACTACCTCGGGGTCCTACTCGTGGGAAAAGGTGGTTCTTTCACAAGTGGGCAAAATGGCTGTCCTCCCAGCTTCACCATTGGCTGTCTTTCGCGTCCTTCAAGGACGATCGCTTGCCAGGGATTGGCTCTTTCTCCTTTGGGGGTGGAGATAGATTTAGCCCAGTTCCACCGCGGCCCCGCAGTGGTGGGAGGTGGAGCTAAAGTCTATTCTACGTGCCGATTGGATAACCTTTATGTCCCTCCGCGTTCGTCTAGCGTATGAGGGAGCCGGCTACCCGTCAACGCGACCGGAGAGGCGGGACTAGTGCGTGGTGGGAAGGGGCGGGATCCTGCCGCCGCGGCTGCCGCTGGAGCCGGTGTCCGGGCTGGTGATGGGGTTAATTCCCTTCCGTGAGACTCTTCCTTGCAACCAGCCGGCCCCGCCGTCGCCCCGCCGCGCCGCGCTCACGCCGCCGCCTCCTGCTCCTTCTCCTCAGTAACGCGGGTAAGCGATGCCGTCCCCTCCCCCGCGGCGTCCCGGGAATAACGCGCCCGCTCCCCTCCCCCGCCCGCCCGCCCGCCCGCCCGCCCGCCGACCGGTAGCGCTAACGGAGCGGGAGAGTGAGGCAGCCGGGGAGGACGCGCTGAGGAGGGAGACAGCGTCCCTCCCCGCCTGCCCGCCAGCCCGCCCGGGGCCGTGGGGTTCGGAGGCGAGCCCGGCCGCCCGGCCGCCGCTTCCACCGCGCCGTGCCCGCAGCCTCGCCGGGGGCCATGTGCAGCGCCGGCCCCCTGAGGCCTAGCGGGGCAACTGGGGACAGGTTCCCCGAGCGTCCCCGATGCAGCTGCTGCTCTTGTGAGCCCTGGAGATCCGGGGACGACCGAGGGGACAAGCAGCCACTGCCAGGCCGGCCTGCAGCAGGCAGGGGCCGTTCGCGGAGCTGTTTTCCGGGGCCCGGCGCAGATGCCCAGGGCTGCTGGCCCCGCTCCGGGGAATTGTCACACAGACACACACACACACACACACACCCCGAAGAGGGAATGGCACGTCGTGCCTGTACTGCTACGAAAAACACATAGCGGAGAAATTCGCAGGAAAGTTGAATGACTGTCAGAGCCTTGCTCGCCCATGGCCTCAGGGGCGTTATGATGATGCTCGCCCCTCTCATCCCTTTGCATCCCTGTGTGTTGGGAAGCTTTTGCTTTTCTTCTCCTTTTTTTTTTTCCTTCCCCTTCCTTTCTTCTTTTTTTGTGGGTATTGCGTGCAAGAGAGTGTCACCGTTGTTTGAACTTGCTTTTATAGATAAACAAATTGGGCCTGACTGTTGTGACCCTTGTGAATTGGGTCCTCAGATAGCAAGTCTCCTATACTAGAGATCAAGAGGTTTCTTCACTAAATAAGTTGAATTTTTAAGAGTTAAAAAAAAAAAAAAAAGAATTTCCAGCATGAATGAATACACACCAACACGGATATCTCTCCCCTAAGGTTATAGTTCCCCTGGGTGAGTTTAAAAATTCCACCCTCCTTCTTTTGGGGAGACAGGGGTGTTCAAGTCAGGGTTTCTCTGTGTATAGCCCTGGCTGTCCTGGAACTCACTGTGTAGATCAGGCTGGCCTTGAACTCACAGAGATTCACCTGCCTCTGCCTCCCAAATGCTGGGCTTAAAGGTGCTTGCGACCACCAACCAGCTAAAGAAACTCCTTAAATTTAAATGTAATAGATTTCAAGAGCATTGAGTCATAACAAGATGGCTAAAGTCAAACTGGAAGTCCCTTTTTGTGATACTTGAATCAGTAAGGTTTGTGTAGCTACACATTGGACTGAGCCATCATTCTCAAAGTTATTTAGCTATATTTTAGGGAATTTTCCTATAATTGCGTCAGGTTTTGATAGTGTGTCCATTTTTCCAAGTTCTACTCTGCTTTTTTGGTCTAGAAAAATATGACTTTAATGGATCTGATAATCTATAATAGACATGGCTACAGACCACCTCATTTCTAAGATTTACTAGTTTTCCATGGTAAACATTTGTTCTAAAAAGAGTCTGCTCTTTGGTAGAAGATTTCTTCTTCCTAGAAGTTTGAGAAATCTGCCAAATTTTCAAAATGATGCAAGTAGATACCAAAGTGAAATAGATCCATTCATTTGGATCAAGAAGGAATCCGGTTATATGGGTTTCATTTTTTGTTTTTTAATTTGACTTAGCTTTGGAAGATAAGTTCCCTTAGCTCTTCCATGAAGTTCTTCTAGCATATGTTGCCTAGCATATTTCCAGAAATTTGATAATTAATTAGTGAGTTCTGCAGTATTTTTAGGTCTCGTGAATTCTTAGCAGAGGACTGGTGAAACACAGGAGACTGCAGTCCATTCTAGTGGTTTCCTTTGTGAAGCTCTGGTGGGTCTCCTCATCTGTGTAATGGGGAGGGTAACGCTCAGTCTGCGGGGAGGCCCAGATGGAGAATATGTGAGGCTGCTAAGATTGTCTCTCATATGTATCTACTTTGTTACATTCAATTTAATGTATGTTTTCTCCTTTATTTTTATATTTAGTGAATGAATGTGTTGTTCATGTGCACAGGGTATCGTTGCCTCAAAATCTCTTCTGCTGCTGAGTATTCATCTACACAGTGGTTTAAAATAATAGCTTATATCTATTTTTTTGTTTATTACATTTATTTAAGTGTGGGGGGGTGGCCCATACAAGTCCCATGGCACACATTTTGGGAGGTTAGAGGACAGTGTTAAAATTTGCAGAAGTCTTCTCTTCTTATGTCATGTTGGTTTGGGGGATTGAACTGAGTCAGTCAGATTTGAAGGCCGAGTGCCCATATGCACTAAGCCATCTTGCTGGCCTCTAGCCATATTGTTTTTTATTTATTTACTTACTTATTTTGATATATATATATTATATATATGTATATATATATATATATTTTATTTTATTTTATTTATTTTTTTTTTTTTTGGAAACAGGGTTTAATGTAGCTTTTGAGCTTGTGCTGGAATTACCTTTGTAGACCAGGCTGGCCTTGAACTCAGAGATCTGCCTGCCTCTGCCTCCCAAGAGCTGGGATCAAAAGGTTGAGCCACCATTCCCTGCCCAGTGCCTTTTTATTTATTTCTTTATTTAGCAGAAACTACATGAGAAATTGGTCATTGGGTACCTAAGAGAATTTATACTATTTTTTTTCCCTTTTGTTTAAGATTTTTGTATTTAGGATCTATTTCAAATAGATTACCTATAACAATAATTTACTTTGTATTGTGGTAGTAAAGTGTTGTAATATCTTCTGACTTTACTTAGTTAATGTGTGTCAAGGTCTAGTTTACAAGTTGCCCTCCTAGTCATTGAGCTACCAGAGAAGGTTCTGTGTATCACAGATTCTGTGATACAAAGTTAAATTTAAGCAAGTTATTTGAATTTATGGGACCATATCAGACTGTTGATTTATGCTCTTCAGGGTTGTTGGTTTGTTTTCGTTTTGCTTTGGGTGTTTTGTTGTTGTTATCCATAGTGCTGGGGATTGAACCTCTAACCTCACACTTGCTATCAAGTACTCTACCAATAATCTAAATCTTCTCTTTAGTTTTGACCCATTATTTAGCAGTCCCTGAATGTTTCTTTTCTTTGAAATAACATGTTCTTTTCCCTTCCCAAGCAATTTTGAAAATATAGTGGGTTTTCACACATAAAGGTGTCATTGGAGTTCGTGTAGTTGGGGCCATTTAACTTGAGCATGCAGACAGGAGTATTATGAAGTTTTGTGACAATGATAGCAAGGTTGACAACATCTGAACAAATGGCACTCGGATGCTTCTCTGAGGGGACTTACCAAGTAACAAAAGAAATTTTCTTTATCGAGCTAACTGCACTTGGTTGTTTCTCTAAGAGAACTTACCAAGCAACGAAAGAAATTTTCTTTTTTTTTTTTTTTTTTTTAACAAGGTTTCTCTGGAGCTTTGGAGGCTGTCCTAGAACTCTCAGTATAGCTCACAGAGATCCACCTGCCTCTTCCTCCCGAGTGCTGGGATTCAAGGCACACGCCACCGCCACTCACAGAAAGACATTTTCTTTTAAATTGGTATTTTAAAATAACCAATTATAGCTGGTCGGTGGTGGTACAAGTCTTTAATCCCAGCGCTAGGGGGCAGAGGCAGGTGGACCTCTGAGTTCAATTCCATCCTGGTTTACATACAGATCCAGTTCCAGGACAGCTAGGGCTACACAAAGAAACCCTGTTTAGGGGGTAAGGGGGAGAGAATCCAATTATAGTCATTTGGGTTAATATTAAGCTTTAATTCTCAGAAGTAAAGAAGTGTAGTAAGAGTTGATAAAGTTTTTTTTTTTTAATGTTATACAAATCATGCTAAAGATTATTGGGTCTATAATACATTTTTCCTACTTGAATAGAAAACTTTCTTGCTAACAATTTCTGTGAGCTATTGTAAAAATATCCAGGAGTCATGTGATAGAGGGGTGGTTACAAGTAGGAATGAAAATTTCAGATTGTTCTTGTTGCAAAACCACAGAACCAATGCTCTTGTTTCTATATTCACTCTTACCTGCAGGAAGAATAATGTATTTACAGCTTTAGGTAACTAAATTGACATGGCAGATGAAAGAAAAAAATGTGTCAGTTTTTTTCAGTATAATACTAAACTTAAAAAATATATTAAATTGCCTTTCACTTAATCCTTGAGAATCACTGTAATCTTTATTAGTAATACAAACATGTACCGTGCATCAAATAACATAAATAAAATTTCTATCAAATTAACTTTGGTCCTCGTATAAGGGTCAAATTAAACAAAATTGCTTGTATCTGATGTCAGCCTACATATGAATATGTGTAATCTCCAAAATGTAGTTTACTTAGTCACTGATGGACAAGGGGAAATAAGATACTAAATCATGGCTCAAAGGTAGTTCTCTCCTTGAATTTCCCAGCAATATGATTTTTTACAGTATTTTGCGTTTACCTGTTGTTAGTCTTCACAGAAATTAACATTTCTTGTTTTCTTTTGTTCTTCAATTTGTAAGTTGGTAGGTTTGAGCCTTTAAAACAATTATTTACTATTACTTTAGGTGTATGTCTGTGTACCTCAAGTATGCCTGGTACCCTCAGAGGTTAGAAGAGGGGATCATCGGATCATCTGGAATTTGAGTTATAAACTGTTGAAAGTTGCCATGGGGTGCTGGGAATTGAACCTAGTTTCTCTGATAGAGTAGCCAGTGCTGACCTTCTTGCCCGCCCTTTGACTCCTAATTTTTACTGTAAGCTTACTTCTCTGGACAAAGTATATGTTTTGAGCCTCTCATTATGTAAATACTAGATCACTTACCATTTTTAAAGGGTAGCTCTTTGGTCATCTTCACAATGTCATTTACAACTTGTAATTTCCTTCCAAAAGAAAGTAAATCGAGGAATTATTTGTTTGTATTCCTGACCTAGATAGGCAATTATCTGATGTCTGATGCAGGAAAATCCTACCATTTGACTTCTGCC